TTCCAGACATACGACTCATGGTGCGGCGAGGCGTACGAGGCATACGAAACATAGAGGCAAACTATAGAAAAAAATTTTATTCAGATAAAAGGCAGTCTCTGACTGCATGTGCCTACTTTTGAATAGTTGTAGAGTATGGCAGAAAAAACACTCTGGTGTAAAATGCAGACGGGTCAGAATGAACACCTCTTGTTATTGCTAAATTGCGACCAAAAGAGCACTTGGTTATGACAGAGTTTGTGCACTAATCGACTAACCCGCCGGATATAGGACAGGAAATTAATAAAGTAGGTACATGTATTAACTGTGCACAAGAGATTATAAACTGAGAATTTTACAGTTTCTTGATGCGCATTAAATGAATTTTTAAACAAAACTTCACAGCTTCGTACGCTCTGCGTACCTAGCGCAATGTTCGTACCTTCTCCTTCAGGTTTGAGCCTTGGCCACGTTAACTTATTTTTGTTTTTCTTTTCCTTTTTTCTTTCTTTTTTTTAATCGACATTCTTCTTCAAGGATATGTTAGACGTGTTCAAAGTAAAATGCACATGTGAGAACAGTTTGACGACGAAGCGGTCACGTTCAAATCGATAACAAGTCGAAATTCAGAGGTGAGACCCTGAACAAACATCGAAGTAAACCCGACAAAACCAAAAATGAATCCAAAGAAACCCAATCAGATTCGTTCAACGATGGCCAGAGTTGGAGCTGGTCCAGATCACAAGAGTCGTTACGAGTGCCTCACGATAGTGCGCCATTTTGAAAACCGTGAGGTGTTTTAAGGAAGGTTTACAGACTTACACGACACCGTAACATAGTTCCTACCACAGGCCAACTGAAACGAATGTAATAACAACGCAAAAACACGTCCTTGATATTATCATTAAAAACCTACTAGAGGTTTCTTTGTAACTAAAAGAACATGGCTATTTTATCATATTTTGCTAACCCATCTGGATTACAGCTATTCTACAAATCTGTCTCAATGCCGATGCAATAATAACTACTTAATTATGAAATATGAACGTAGATGCCTCATCAATGTTGCACAATGCTGCAAAATCCTCTTAAGCTGATTTACAGAAGACAAAAGCCCCAAAAAGAACAAGCGATAAGGATGTTTGATTCCCACAACAAAGACTGTAAAAGGATCGAGTCTAAAAAAAGACACACACCCAAGAACACGTCGAGTGATTCACGGAGTCGAAGCGAGAGAGAAAATTCATTTAAGGAGGGGAGAGAAAGTAAAAAATTGTTTGTTCGACCTACGCTCTTTTGCTTCCACTAAATATTGGCGGCCGCGATTTCAACGTCACATGACGAAGGTTATTCTGTAGGCTTTTTCCAGTAGCAAAACGATACTAAGCCATAGCATTCTTCAAATATCTTAATCTAAAAAAAAATTATATAAAAGGCATTTTGCGATGGCTCGCATGTATCGCATGCCTCGCCGACTCTCAATTTGTAACAACCTCATATTAATATGCTCAATTCTGGCCATTGTACGCAGTAAGTGAATTCATACTGACCTACGCTTTTCTCTGTTTCTGGGACTGACCGCGTGACTCGGACGATTGAGAGTGGGGACGTTACCTGTTGACGAAGAAAGTCAGGATTTTAAGGTTAAACAACATCGCATTGACAAGTCATGTTAGGTGATTGTCCAGAAAAGCAGCAATTGACACAAGTTAACTCAATGATGGTCAAAAGGGAATTCACGCGGCCATCACTGTTATTTCGTTTCTTTTTCCAAGTTTTCCCATAGACAGAAGCAATACCACAATGCGAAAAGAGAGGAAGGTCGACGAGGGTAAAAGACTTCACAGATGGCACGACATGGGCGCAAACCGAAATCACCAGCGACTTCAACCGATGATAGATGCGATGACACCTGAGAAACCTCATATGTGTCAAACACAATCGGACGATTGGTGGACATGTCACGCTAGATAGATATTTGGCGTGACATGTTAGCACTATAGTTTGCTTGCGGTCGTTAATTTCCTTAGAGCTGCATTATGCGACACGGCCAGCTGAAAAGTCAACCTATACCGTTTACGTTGTTTCAGAATTTGAGGTCCTTTTTCGACATGTTCCCTGATCCTAAACGCCTCGTTACGTATCCTCCACCCTAAAGATGTTGCGCGGCTGGTTGACTTATTATTTTCGTTGTCACTCAGCCGTGGCATTTCATTTCGTACGTGATTGTATGTGATTTTTGTGTGTGTTTTTTTTGTATGTGTTTTTTTTGTATGTGTTTTTGGTGTTTTCTTTCGGAACCAGTTCAACGACTGAGTCTATCAACACGGTTTCAACATTTACTTTTTTCAAGTCCTGTGTCCTCTTCCTTCGCTGTGAAGTGCCAACAAGTTAGTTGTAATCTTGTTTTCGTAATAAGCCAGATAATAATACAAGGCTCGTGAGACGCCTGTCAATTTCTCGTTGTAATTGCATGAATTCTTTCTAAAGGGTTAATTGACCTCGCGGCTTTTGTGTCAATAAGCGGTATATGACTGTTGACGCTCACGGAATAATTATCTTCAAACCAGAAAATCTTGAATCAACCTGAGCCATCAAAGCTGTAATCATCCACAACGCGGACCAGAATTATCACACAGGCGGAAGAATCTTTATAAATGAGGTGAGCACAATAAACTGAACACTTCTTACTCAAGGTTACTTGTCGTCGTGCAGTCTCATATCTGCCGTAAGATCGAAACATAACCCTGTTGGCTCTGAGACGAAAACGAAGTAGTCGAGCAGGATTAAAAATGGAAATGTTTAACCTTTCTTCCTAGAGCTAACTTAAGAGATGCACACCAAGATTACACGTATGCTTTCAGTGATCAGAACCACAAAATTGTTATTTCCGATTTTTCTTTTGTAAATGGAGCGAGTGCATATTGTTATATGTGCTGGCAAACTCATTGTACAGAACACAAGCTACTTTTACTGAAGCTGTAATTTTATTGTTTGCCAAGGTATGCAGCCCTCGGCCCTCAGTTATTCCACTGATCTAGAAGGGCAGCGAAATGACAACCAAACGGCTTCAGTGACTCATACCACTCATTTAGTAGCCTGCAGGGCTAAACTGCAGAATACCCTGCCACTCATTTACGTGTCATTGAATAGGAATAGCGTCTATTGTGTTATGTCTCGTCCTTGTAAGCTTCACGTCACATGTAAATGAGATGAACCAAAGTGGCAGGGTATTCTGCGGTTACTCCGCCTGCAGTGCAGGCGTCTTATTATGGCGAGCTGACGTTATAAGCTAGCGATCGTTTATCCGACCGGCCATGTTTTATTTCTTTAATTTCTCTCACTCGCATTTCTTTGCAATTTAAGTCA